TCTGAGTCCATCATTCCGCTCCTGTTTCCTGGAATATCTTACAAAAAGATTTGAAGCTCTCGACCTTTGACCTCTCTAAGTGGCTTTAAGAATCTGTTGGACTCCTGGCAGGGACCAATGCAGACATGTTCCTGTTTTTAGTTTTATACATTTGTCTCGGAATCTAGTAGTTTTTTTGGTTTTGTTACCTTTTTCCTTTTAGCCATCCTATTTGTTAAAAAAAAAAAAAAAAAAACTGTAGTATGAGTTTTTATAACTGCTTATTGTTGTTGCTGTTGTCCATTGTTGTCATCTTTCTTTGTTGAAATCAGGTCTCTCTTGTAAATGAGTCCTCGAGGCTCAATGGGATTTACCTGTAGAAATAAAGGTTGATCATGTCCTGGATGACTGAGAATCTTCACCAGCACACGCACAGACAAAAATATTATTGACTGCTTTTTTGTTTCGTAATAAATTATCATTCTTAAACAAATATGTATTTATTCCATAAATATCAATTAATTAACATGGATTAATTAACACTCATGTGTTTCAGAGATGAAAATGTAGCAGTATAAAAAAGTACCCGGCTAGGGAAACGTCACTTCCTGTTAGGTAGGTGGGCGGAGTATAAAAGGAGGCAGCGACGCCCACAGGTCTCATATAATCACATGTTCTGGGACTTGGTTTCCTCTTCCTGCTCCCACTACGTGTGGGGTTTGGTTGTGGCTGAGCAGCTGATCGTGTTGTGCATGCTGTTATGGCCTTCGTGGGGTGAACACCAAGCTTGCTGCTAGTGAGGAGCAAATGAAGCTTTTATGAACCAGTTGGGCCAATTGTTTCATAAATGGGTTCATTTGTTGAAGCTTCAGTTACACTGACCTCTTGTGGCATTTTGCAATGCTGCTGTCAAATTAGGCTTTTGGTGTCACACCAAGAACTTCAGTGACTTGTGTTAAAGAAACTACTTTACTGTGGTAAAAACAGGTTGTTTAAATTCATCAACTTTCCATGTTGTCTGGTTTGAAAATGTATTCATGCTTACATGTTTTTGAATAAAGATTGATACATGTGCATTGAAGAGATTTAATAAAAATGTTGCAGAGGTATTGTGCTTGCGTAACTGTGACAGAGTCCGAGTCTTTATTATTCTTAAAATATCAATGAAATGACGTCTCCATCATCTCCATGTTTGGAGCTGAAGTGTCTGATCATAGAGGAGGTGTTCCCACGATGCTTCAGGTGAACACACCAAACACTGCACCTGCACAAATACACTAATGGAAATAAAAAAAGTAATAATTTGAGCCCATACTGATATATGATTATTAAAATCACATACATCATTTTACTGTAATTATATTAAATACAGGGCAGCACGGTGGCACAGCTGGTAGAGCTGCTGCCTCTCAGGGAACAGGTCCCTGGTTCAAACCCCGGTCCAGGTGCCCTCCGGGTGGAGTTAACATGTTCTCTCCGTGCATGCGTGGGTTTTCTCCGGGTGCTCCGGTTTTCTCCCACAGACCAAAAACATGCATGTTAGGCTGATTGGTAACTCTAAATTGTCCCTAGGTGTGAGTGGGAGAGTGAATGGTTGTTTGTCTCGTTTGTCTCTGTGTCCCTGTGATGGACTGGAGACCTGTCCAGGGTGTACCCCGCCCCTCGCACAGTGATTGCTGGACATGGGCACCAGCGACCCCCGTGACCCAAAATGGAATAAACGGGTAAAGATAATGGATGGATGGATGGGTTAAATGGGTTAGATATTTTTTTTTTAAATTCAACCTTTATTTCTACAGGATTATTCCCACTGAGCCTCCAGGACTCATTTACAACAGAGACCTGATTTCAACAAAGAAAGATGACATCAATGGCCAACAGCAACAACAATAGACAAATATAAAAAGGCATACAGTTTTTTTTTTTATAAAAAAAAAATAGGATGGCTAAAAAAAGAAAAGTAACAAAAACAGCTAGAACATCTTCACTGCTGAACATTACTAGAACTTTTTTGACATTTAAATACCAAAACCACCTCATGATGAGCAGAATGTTAGAAGGACCTGTTTTCCTGCATGGCTCCATAATCACTCAGTTTCAGCGACCAGCAGAAACACACCTGCTCTCCAACACATTGAAACGGATCTAAAATGTTTATTTTTTTTATTAAAAATGATTTTTTTTCACACGAAGTGGGCAGACTCTCTTGAAGATATGCACTTTCAGTTTGTCTAACTTGTACTTGATGTTGGTATTGGACTTGTAGGGTGCGAACTCAGAAGAAGACGTCTGCTAGATCCGCCATCTTGCCGGAAGTTCGTTATTAATCGTTTCTGCTGACTTTATAAAAACTAATCCCAAACGTGTTTTGGGCAGGTGCATTTAACAGCGAGCGTCCTGAAGAGGCCCACCCCAAAACAAACGGTGGCTCTCAGGTTATTTAAACACTCCTCTGGAGATTACAACTCCAGCATCAAAAGAAAATTTAATTATAAATAAAGACAGATTGAATGTGACTGATTCCAGATGTATTTTTTTTGTAAATTTTACTGATGTTATTTAATTTATCAAGAGGACATTTAAAATGTTTAGTTCTATTTTGTATAGGCTTCACCCTTTAAGGCCCTCGCTAGTGGGTTTTGTCCCGTCATGCGAAGCATCGCACTGAAAAATTTAGTCCACGCCCACCTGCTGTGTGGGCCCCACCCGGTAAATTAAAAAATTAATCAATTACGTTAAGAGCGGGTAATCTGCTCCCAAATGGCTTCTTCTTCAGCCACTTAGGAGCCAGTGAGGCCCGACGCTTAAAGGGCTGCACATGTATTCATAGAATCTGGGGTTACAGTACGTAACAGTTTCACTTTGATGAACTTGGATGTTAGTTTTGGCAAAAGTGTTTACATCAGATGCCCTTCCTGACACAAGCCGTCCCTCACCATTTACACGGGCTTGGGACCAGAACCAGAGGGACAATAACTTTACAATGACTTGTGGCTGGTTTGATTACAGAGTACGTAACAATAACCATACAACAACCATACTGGTTTGATTACAGTACGTAACAACAACCATACAACAACCATACTGGTTTGATTACAGAGTACGTAACAATA